TTGGGTAAGTTTCTCAAAGGGCCCAGTGACATCACCCCTCTGTCCTGCCCTGTTGAATTGGTGTTCAGTGATGCATTTCAGATCCAACAATAAGAGATTTGGCTCCTGATCACCACACACTGCAGCTCTCATGTGAAACAGAGGCTGCTGTCACTCATGGCTTCCCTTTGACAGGCACACACTGCTCTGCTGTTTACTCACCCAACCATCCAGAAACAACAACTGGGTGTTACTGGGTGCTATCACAGTGTCTATCAGTGTGATGTGCTGTTTCTCAGTTTGATAAGTAATGCAAACATTATCTCTATAGTAGCCACCGCTCAATGGACAAAATGAGTTTCTTAAATTGGCATGGTAAAAGATAATATAGTCTGGCATTTGAAATCACAATATTTACTTACATGATTTTCAAATTCCTCTATTTTTCAGCATTGCTGCTTTCCAGAGAGACCTTTCTTTATTATGTTGGACCCACCACAGTAAAACAAAGATTTTGGTCCATTTAGAAAAGCATTTTGCGCACAAACATATCACTTTCTAGCCAAAACCCTAATTCCCACAGCAAGTAGATTTCTGAGAAGGATGATGTAATTATATCCAATCCATTAACATACCGGTTTTACAAATCGACGAGGAGGGCAGTTTGAATTCCTGCTGCCCATGGGGAGGGGTGTGCTGGGTGAAGTGAAAAGGCTGAGCTCTGATGAGAGCTTTGTGGAGCCCCAAGGAGCTGTGGTTACACCCGCTGCTGCTTGTGTATTCAGGGAACACTGACACACACAGTATCAAATATCTCAGGCTAGAGTCCAATGATCTGCTCTATAATGTCACTGCTCTACTTTAAGAAGCAGTGCTATGAAGTTGGGATTTTCCTCCAGTTTGCCTCCTCTGGAAAGCTCATTGCTAACTTTTTGGAATGAAGCAGTGGGTTTTAGAGTTGGAGAGAGAAGACAGAAGATGATGTTAACCATAGTGCAGTTATTATTGATGCTGTAATGCTTGGCCTCCACTCAGCCCCGACTCGTCACATCCAGCCTCTCACTGAGCTCTCCTGGGGAACGACTCATCAGAGTCCCCCTGTCAGCTCAGGGCTGAAGACTGTCAGTGTTCCACAGGCATTATGACCATCATCCGCTGTGTTTAGCATTTCCTTTAGCAGGATCGTATCTGTGCAAATGCATCTCTGGAAAGTATGTGTATTCACTCTCTGCCCTAAACGACTTGTTGGAGGTGTGTGTTTGCGTGCGTGCGTGCGTGTGTGGTTGACGACACCAAAACTGCAATATAATGTTTGTGTAGCATAATAAATATGACATATCGTTTTTCAGTGCCCTACGCTGTACATATCCGGAATGAATGGCTGAAAGGTTTGGGAAGCTTTGTTTCGTGAAAGGCTGGCAGAGGGTGCGGCTACTGGGTATCCCTACGTAGCGATACCCAGGAAGTAAGTGAGAAATCTCCAACGAGGCGTTTTGGGGAGGTATTTTCTGTGTTAATAGAGTTTTACGGCCTACAGGGTGTACTTTGAGGGTTTTTGACTCTGCAGACCGTTTACATGCATAAAAACCTTCATAACACACAAGGGGATGGGTAATAACCAGAAAAGCATGACATGGGACCTTTAAGTTATCAAAGAGACAAGCAGAGTATTTGTAACTCTGCTGTCTAGCTTTACTCTCTGGGACATCTAGTTCTGGAGAGGAGGAAACCTCTGAGGATCATGTGTAACCCTAATAAGTAGAAGCTGAATGCAATGACAAACTCCCATTGGGCGCTACGCTGCCTTTTGTTATTGGATTAGAATTTAAATGAGAGCCTCCTTAGTGGCAGAAAGTGACAAACTAATATCAAATGAGTCTAAATGTGTTGACACCGACCCACCCTCCTTTGTAAAGAATACTGGGAAAACAGTTAGAGAATGTATTTTTGTCTCTGGAGGAACTTTATCAAGTCTGATGAAAAAGAACCCTGAAGAAGTCATCAGATAGTGATTTAGTTATTACATAATTTAGGCATGATCGATTCAAAATTGAAATCCTGCTTTCAGAGCTAGACGTGTGGAGTTTGAAAGATGTAGATGTTATCAAGGAAGAAAGTGTGTATTGAATGACACTACCCAGCTGCATTATGGGACATTAATGATCCTTTTTTTCCCTTTCTTTTTGGATTTGGACCTTTGCTAGGGAATCTGAAGTCCGAGTGTCTCAGCCTCTGCTGAACACTTTATGAATTCCTGCTTCTAAAATGTACTACTAAATCAGTGGAAAACCCCTTCAAGCGACTCCAAGCTATAAATCTTGAAATTAATGCGACAGAAATGTTAAGGTCCCACAAACCATACCTTGAATGCCTTTCCCCCAGCTGGATGTGAGCAGTGAGTGTGTCAGCTTCAGTGCTGCTGAGTATGCTGCCCTCACACTGTGAGTGACAGTCAGCAGATGGGAGTCTCTGTCCCTCTCTGGAGAGTCATACTGTCACTGCACTCCTCTTCCCCGCATCCTACAGTCAATCTGCTCTCCTTATGAAAAGTGACGTGTCAGTGTCGTGAGCCAACACAGTTGCACAGTCAGACCCTTCCCCCTCCACATTATACTGAAGGCCATTTCTGATGCCTCAACAATGATTAAGCAAAGCTGCCTCAGCATTCTTTTTCTGCGGTATAGGAGTGCAGAAGGAATTTCTCCCTGAGGGGTGAATTGTAGCTCCCCTGAAATGGAAGATGTCTGTGGATGCACGTGCAGAGGCCAGCTGTTGATTCAGAGTGCTGCTTTCTTTGCTTTGCTGAACCTCATTACAGGAAACATGCCTGCCGTCCACACTTCAGTTAGTTTCAACAACCCTGTGTTGTCAGTGACTTGGTGTGAGTCTACACACAGTGTCCAATTCTTCTACCCAGTCACTCATTCCTTGATATTTAAAGGGGCCCCTATTGTACTTTTTGGGATCTTTTCTTTCCTGTAGTCTGTTCTATTGGTTTTTGTGCTAAAATCCCAAAGTTCCCTCCAGAGGGAGTTTCTCTCCCTGGGCTCTGGTTTCAGACAGAGGGTGAAAAGAGGTGCTGCAGCACAGGCAGTATGAGGAAAATAAAGAGCTTTTTGAACATTAAAGCATGGAGACATGTCCCAGAAGAGGCTCATGAGCAAATAGGGCCTCCTTAAAACGCAATTGCACCAGAAAACCTTTCAATTCTGTAAGTATATTCCACTCGCGATGGCCTTTTTAAATATCAAAATCAATCCACACATTGTCTTCTTCCAAATCCAGGTTCCACAAACATTACCAACAAGGCGAAAGTAATCACAGAAATAGTTGCCTGCCAAAATAATTTCTCTTTTTGATATATTCTTGCTACTATTCTGCAATGACAGACTTTTACATTATTTCAGCTCCAAAGTAACTTTCCATTTCCAACAGCTCTTTAATGTTAGTTTGGTCTTAATGTGTTTCACTCTAAATGCACTTGATTGACTGTTAATGAAGTCTGCTGCACGCAGTTAACTCTGCAGCGTACGTTTAGCATGCAAAACAGGCAGCCTCATTCACTTTTATCTAATGGTCTCTGGGCATGAGACCCCAGTCTAACTCAACGGCTGTTTCTAAATAATTATAATATTCATAACAACTGCTTCATGATGCTGTGTGAGTCTCTATAAATGAATCCTGTCATCATGCTGTGAGCAAAGATACTGCTTTGACTCTGTTATTGTGTTGTTGTTGTTGTTGTTGTTGTTGTTATGTTCCACACATGCAAGTCAGACTTAGCATTCTTTAACTAAGCTTGCTTTGTTTCTGGAGATGGAATTTGATAAACACTGGCCTTCTTTCTATTGTAATGCTATCCGTTAAAGGAATGTAACCTGGAATATCAATAGATAAGTGATGCAACAGCAGGTTTTCAGCCCAGAGCACCAGGAGATCTTTTTGAAAGATTTAGCAAAGTTCCAGATGTTGCAGCAGAAAGAACACAATGATCATAGATGGGATAGGTATGGAGGGTCTTAATATTTTCCCTTTCAGTTATAAACTTTCACAGCTATTGTTTCATTTCCTGATGCCACGTGTGAGGTTACATGTTACAGGGAGGGCTAATAAATGACACATGCCAGAGAACAGAGAGTGGATTTGGAGATATGTTTAATTATTTGAAATGTGTTAAGTGTCAGTCAATACTTAAAAATGGAAGGTAAGAAATAAAGAGTACAAGTGATTAATGCATTTTAAAGAATTTACCTGGGAACAGGGTGTCCGTGGGGTCTTAAAAGGTATTGCATTTGACTTCAGGATTCCTGCATATACCCTGTGGGAAGAATACTCTAATATCAGGATAATTCAAATACACAGTATAATAATATCATTGATTGTTCAACAATCAACCAATAGTTGGTCAAACTGAACCAAATTCTCAGTTGAAAGAAAATGTATGTGAAGTTCTCCTAAGTGGAAAAACACTCTTTCATCTCACCAGTAAATGACAGTTTTTAAGGTCAGATTTTGTGAACCAACTTGCTTTATTGTTCCCTCCTCCACCCAAAAAAACATGGTTTGTTCAATTCAAGAAAGCCTTTCCACATCTCTCTAAAGCAGATCAAACAACTGGTGTACTTTAAGAAGCTTACATCCCCTTTCCCAGACGTAGTATCTGATAAATGCGGACTGGGTATTTCAGAAGGTCTGCTCCTTGTTTGCCTTGTTTTGAAGGGGAGCAGAGGGTACTGGTGTTGGATGTGAAGGATTCCTTTGTAGTTGCCTGGGAGGTGGTATTTAAGACCGAAACCTTCGCTTCATGGAAACTACACATGCATAAAGGAAGGGTTTGCATTAGAATGGAGGTGAAATGCACAATGGGATGGGACAAGCCTTAGCAGCCTGTATGGGCTTTCATTCTACTCCATAGATTTTGTGTGAAAGCTGAGCCTGTGTGAAACCTACGCACTGGTGAGTAGTAAACCGTTGTGTAAGAGCTCTAACATGTGTCCTTCCTTCCTTCCCTCGCTCCTCAGTGTCTAAGAAGCACGGAAAGCTGATCACCTTCTTACGCACCTTCATGAAGTCCAGGCCCACCAAGCAGAAACTGAAGCAGAGAGGCATCCTCCGGGAGAGGGTGTTCGGCTGCGACCTGGGCGAACACCTCCTCAACTCAGGACATGATGGTGAGACACACGAAGACACACCTGAGAGTACCAGGCTTTTATTCTTAACAGACTCTTAGTGTATTCTGACTGGCGAGGGTCTTAAATGATCTGGAGCCTGATTTATGGCAGAAAGTGAAGGCCATTATTTGCAACAAGCTTCCATTAGAGACAGGCTTTGATTTCTGTTCCCTGGTTAATGGAGTGGTAGAGATTACATTTTAGTTAGCATCGCATGGGCACCCTTAAAAAAAAAATGCAATGGGATTTTTCCATTGGAATTCAGAATATTGCAGAAAAAATATCTCTGTCAAACACACGATTATGATTCTTACATATTTTTGGTCAGCAGGATAATCTCATATTCTGTTGTAAAAAGCGATATAATCCCGAACACCTGCTGCATCCTCCATTTCAAATAATGAGCTAATGGTTTTTAGATAACAGCCATTGTGAGCTTCCTCAGATTCACACCACACCGTGAGTTAAAGCAGTTCGGCCAGCCCTCTCTGCCTGTAAGTTAGATGATAGCTGGGTTTAAGTACATAGCTACATGTACCTGCTGTAGCTACTTTGATGTTCTGATCCCTCAGCAGCACGCTGTCTGTGAGGTGAGCTGATGGGATGGTGTCAATGACAGAGGTGGAGGAGAATGGTTTCCTGATTACCCTGTGACATCAGCTCCAACCACTGGATGATGCTTCTCTGCTGCTGAAGCGCAACCAATGACTTCATTTCACTTCTGCTTGAGACCAACTTAAAAAGCCATTCATTCATGTTAATGGATCAATTCATGTCTGGACCATGGTCCGGACATGAATTGTTCTTGTCGTAGCAGCACATTGAATCACAGTGATCACAGACGGGTGAAGCATTCACTCCCTGGCTCTCTGTACATCCTTCCTTACCTGACACGGAGAGATAAGCCACTCTGTCACACTTTGCTGGGTCAAATGTTTGACGTGTTACGATTGCTTCAGTGACTTTAAGAAATGAAAGAGGAATTTGATCTTATGGAACAAGAGAAATACCATTTGTGGTCAGAGTGCTGTGTCTGCTCCTATAAAGACCGGTGGTAGGTGAAGACAAGTACTACTTTGCTTTCACTTACTAAGCAATATTTCCTAGACAAAAAAGTTGTATAACCGGTTGGTTAGATGTTGAATAAATAAATATGGTCATAAACAAAGCTTTTCAAACAAAAATTATAATCCATAGAATGTTAATGTTCCAAATAAATGTTGTCCAGTTAACAGACAGCCAGGTGTCTTGTTGTACTCTTATAAGCTTCATCAACAAAGAACATCAAACGGAGAGTTAAAGCCATAACCCTATGCTCCATGAAATAAAAGTAGCTTTTTTAATCCAATTTTCAGAGGGGTATGCTGACAAAGGAGAGTCCGGGCTAAAGACAAAGGGATCTTCCAAGCTACCATTTCTCCTGCTAGCTTGGTTCTACAAAAGTCCACTTTGACAATATAATGTCTTATTAACAATATTATTAAAGGGGCCATATTATTCTTGTTGGGATTTCCCCTTGCGCTTTTCTGGCTAGGGCCCCAACACATTATACATGGCAACTTTTTCACAGACTACCTTCATCTGTCAAATATTGTACCCGAACATCTCAGCTTCCACTTTCAGTGTAAAGGTGACTCTGCCACTGCACTTGAGCTTTGAAACTAAAATGTAAGGTAACAAACTCTTCACTTAAATAAATTGGATGCTGTTGTTTGAAATGTAAGAGGGTTCACTACTGTTGTGTCCAAATCTGTCTCCACATTCATGTTGTGTATCTTTGCGATAAGAGAGCCTCATAAAAAAGATCTTCCTACGTAAAGAGCTTGGAGAGGACTCATCCACCCTCGCTGTCCTCTTCTCTGTTGCAGAAGGACATTTCCTTCAAATCTGGCCGCCTTGTTTGCTCTTTCGCTATGTGTGGAATTTGTCTGGACAGCTGCTTCAGTGCATGTCCCACTCTGCCATTTCTGAATGCTGTTTGAGCCTCCACACATAAACACCATCCTTATCCACCATATACACACACACTCACAAAGAGAAATAGCATGTCTGTATGATTCATGGTTGCTGAAGGAGAATTAAGAAGCTCTGTGGTTTCTCTTCATTGTCTCAACACAAAATCACTGGCATTGTGCTTTAACCTGTTGTACCCCATCGACCCGCCCCCGGGTGAAAAAACGCATAATCTGCAGGAAACAGCATCTGAGGGCTTCTTAATATTTAATAAACTATGAATGTTTTATATCCATGTAACGGGAAGAAACTCAGCTAACTGGGCTGAGCCTATGACCATATTAGCCACGAGCGAAAAAATGCTAACGGCGTTTGCACAGAAAATCACTCATAACACCCTTATTACTTATCGTAACTGAAAATCCAACCCATCGATTAGATCGTGAGAAGACACAGAATCGATCGGTACCTACATCATCACTCTATGATAACAACTCGCGACATAATAAACAAAAACAGACATCATAACTCTTGGCGCTAGGTAGCAACAACGGCAATATCTCATACCTTCGTTGTTGTCTGATCAAAAGTTGTCTTCAATAGCATTAAAACGATAAAAACGCTGCTGAAATTAATCCATAGGTTAATCCAATGTGTCTGTTTCCCTTTGAAATGATTTCTGATCGTCCAAAAGCAATAAACCTACTTTTCCATTTTCAGCTGTCAGACCGTGAGATAGGTTCGCTCTGGGCAAAACTGCATGCGCGAAGCCCCCACCTTTTTTTTGTTAACGTGTGGTGTGTATGTGGAAATTATTCTTCGATTCTATTGGCTCTAACGGTTAAAAAGAGATGTCAATCACCAAAATCGACCAATGGGTTCCAGAGAAACTGCAAAAACGAGGTGACGTGCAACAACATTAACCTTTCTGTTGGTCGCTTGTTAGCAGACCATTCACGCGATGGCAGAGCGAACAGCTACAGGCAGGGCCCATAATGATAGCCCTATAGTTTAAATCTACTACCCACACATAAACATATGGAAATGGGTTACTATTTAAAAAAAAAAAGTATTTATAAATGTATTTAGGAACCTATCCATGTGATTATAAGTGGGGGTCGACCTCAAATCCTCTAGGGGGGTCCGGGGGCATGCTCCCCCGGTAAGATTTTAATTTTGGAGTTAAATGCATCAATCTGGTGCATTTTGAGGGGAAAATAAAGAGACTAGATCTATGGAAACACCTATATTAAGCACAACTGTATACGATTTCAATAATCATAAAATCATGGCTATAACCAATAACATACCATTTCCAATATGAAAAAAACACTGAAACTTGTTTATTAATTTATTTTTGATTCATTTATGAGTGTGTCTGTGCTCCTGAACCAGCCTCTCCTGTCTCTCTCCTCTCTCCTAGTTAACTTTTTATTTATTTATTCATGCATATTTTACTAATCACATTACATTACATTTCATTTAGCTGACGCTTTTATCCAAAGCGACTTATAATGACCGATTACAGGGACATTCTCCCTGGAGTAACTAAGGGCTAAGTGCCTTACTCAAGGGCACACTAGAATGAACTCACAGCCTTCCGATCTTCAGCCCACCTCACTATCCATTAGACCAGGGGTCTGCAACATTTTTGACAAAAAGAGCCATTTTGTTCCTTTTCCAAAAAAAAAAATTGTCTGGAGCCGCTAAACATATTTCATAGCTTGCTAGCTAATAAAGTTGTATTTATTGTTATATCAGACAAAAACTACAGTTTTTTTGCATTTATTAGGCTATTTATTACGTTATATAAAACTATTAAGTATACAACTTTTAACCTCTAATAAGAAACAAAGAACTCCTATACACAAGTTATTGAGCCGTTTCCGCTCTACATCCTGAACTCCTCCCTTCGATGCAATGCACTTCCGTTTTGGCGGACTGGGTTTGTTTTGCTAGCTAGCTCCGTTGTGCCGACAAAGCACTGATATCGCAGAGACAAAGAGGATATAACAATTACAACATGAAGAAAAGTGGTTCGGGAACTACGTGTGCGGTAGTTGGTTGCAATCACTCGAGAAAGCACCTGAACGAGTGGTTAGATAGAGAGTGCTACGACCACAAACCAGCACCCAGCACCCAGCCATGTTGTTCATTAAATACAGATAAACACAACAAATACTGCATGCATTGTATTTTTTAATATTATATATGAATATTTTCATAGTGATGTAATTGTGTGGGCTGCTTTTATATTTTAATTTGTAATACCTGTTAGGATTAAACATGTGATCTTTCTTGTTGAAGCCATTTCTTTAGTTTCCTCTAAACAATTAATTAATTCAGTGTTATTTATGTACAGTATGAGCTTAATATGAATGATGAACTGTGTTAAAAGAAATTGTAGCACTCTAAGGAACATATGAAATGCAATAATGAAATTAAATTACATCAAACTTTATTTTCACTCAAACAGTACAGGCACATATGATATATTGCACAGCATAAAGAGAACATCTATATTGATTCTGACTTTTCTACATCCAACTCACAGATTTATCATTACTTTGAGAAAAAAGATTATTAATTTTCCCCTTTTACAAGGGAAGATATGGTCATTTGGTCTGGGAATGTCATTTTCGAGCCTGAGACCGGAAAAACACGCTTGGGGTCTAACAGGTTAAAGAACATGATTTGCTGCCTCATTCACTGACATGTTCTTCTAACTATTTACTCCAAAAACATCAAATAAAGAAATCAAATCTTTTTAAAGCTCTCAGGGTATTGGCTCAAACGTTTCCCCCTTCAGCTCCAAAAGTCCTTTTTCCTCAGATAGCACTAGAAATGTAGTTAATCACACTCCAAAGTCTTTCAGCGCCTGCAGCCTCTTTTCCAGAAAGCCTGTGAGCTCTAGCTTGACCTCGCTTGTACTCGCTCTTCAAAAGAAGAGTCATCACATTCTTGACCGTGAATGTCTCAGTGAAGACTGGACAAATATTGACTTGTGTGTGAAGTGTTGAACGGCTCTTTTTCTCCTCACAGTGCCCCAGGTCCTCAAGAGCTGCACCGAGTTCCTGGAGAAGCACGGTGTGGTGGATGGCATCTACCGCCTTTCTGGAATTGCCTCAAATATCCAGAAATTACGGTAGGAGACACACTGCCTGTTTATTATGTGATTCAAAGGTCAAATGAGAATCTCCCCTAATAAAACAACTAGTTTTTACAGAAATGTCCTTAAATGTGATAGGAGGAGCTTACAAACCGTATCCTACCATAGCCCTCTATAAGCTGACAACATACTGTATGAATTCCATCTAGGGTTATTGCATCTGTAAAAGAAAATCGTGATGACGTGCAGGTGTTACCCATCAACAGTTACACTGGATCAGAACTTAAGTCATCTGAACTCTGACAGCAGTTGTAACTGTTAAAAGGCAATTTATATGTTGTGGACATTTAAGTAGTTATTGTCAGTGTCAGTATAATCCTGTGTTTACATGTAAACTAGTGCAGTTCCCGTTCAGGATAACTGGTGCAAGATCTTCTTGGATTTCACAGAGACTAGGGCTATTCTACTATAATATTCAGGGGGGCAAGTTTTCAGAATGCTAACAATTGAAAAAAGAAGATGTAAAAATGCCCTGCATTTAATTTCAGCGTTTGAGCATATAGAAATGTAGGCTATATTTATAATTCTTCTGTTGGACTCATGGGAGCAATGTAGACCTGTTTTATTATTAAGCAATATTTTCTAGTTTTATATTTGTTATATATTGCCCCCTATCTTTCACCAGGCATGAGTTTGACTCTGAGCAGATCCCCGACCTGACCAAAGATGTGTACATCCAGGACATCCACTGTGTGGGCTCGCTGTGTAAGCTCTACTTCAGAGAGCTGCCCAACCCCCTGCTCACCTACCAGCTCTACGAGAAATTCTCTGTAAGCAAAGCCTGAGTAGCTCAAGCACTTCTCACACACCAATTTCTAGCACAAATGTGTGGATATACAAGTCTACTTACTATTATAACACGTGACTTACTGAAAGATACTGATTGTGCTTATTAGTCTCTAGCGTAAAGTAATGAAATGTAAAGAAATTCCTATAAATACATCTTGTAAGAATTCTACAGTGCATCTTGCATGTATTAGTCATAGACCCACTGACATACAGTATAAGCATTGAACCTAACTCTATGTGTGACTTGGAAAAACAATGTTGTCCAAGCATAACAGAGATTTCAAGTAAATGCTGGTTGTTATTGCAGCTGGAGAGAGGAGGGGTGGGGGGCTATGGCTCCTGACGGATTCCCCCCTGCTCCATGTAGCGGCGTAAACCTGGCATAACAAGTTAATTTAGCCTTGTGTTGATTCATCACACTATTTATTTCCCTCCCTTTCTTTTCACTTTGAAGGATGCTGTATCAGCAGCAACAGACGAGGAACGACTCATCAAAATCCATGATGTCATACAGCAGCTTCCTCCACCGCATTACAGGTCAGTGTAGAGGCACACCGCCCCCCTGTGGCAGACTCAGGAACTGCCAGATACAAATGCATCCTGTGTTGTGGCTCCTGTCTTGATAAAATTATTGTTTTTTTTACGGCCACAATGCATTGAGGGGAATCATTTAACAGCTTATACTCATCTGTGTGCTTTCCAAAAGCATACAAATGCACATTTCTAAGTGACATTCCTTTGGGATAGATCACATGGTGAAATATTGATGCTCTGAAGAATAAACTCTATCATGGCCATTAGTGTGCTTATAACTTGTAGGGGACCAATTTATGTGAATGATAGATGTTTGATTCATAGGACCCTGGAGTTCCTGATGAGACACCTGTCCCACCTGGCAGCCTACAGCTACATCACCAACATGCACAGCAAGAACCTGGCTATCGTCTGGGCCCCCAACCTTCTGAGGTGAGGGCCTCCTGCACCACACAATGTTCTCTGAATGCATGTTTTATTGAGTTGAATACACTGTCTATCATCACATTAAAGCCACCTTGATTGGTTGTTTTCTTAATGTTTTAAACAACACATCTCAAACTAATTATAATGGTCTTCACAATTTGATGTATCTTTAATTTAGGTTATGTAGGTTTTGTATACTTCTCACATTAAAGATTTATCTTTATTGAAATGTATAGACTTATTGAAACACTCACACTTCAACACATTTACCTGATATGCTCAGGGGCGGGACATGTCAAAGTGGTTTACCAATCACAACAGCTAACCAATCAGAGCAGACTGGGCTCTGGTTTCAAACAGAGGGTGAAAAGAGGTGCTGCAGCACAGGCAGTATGAGAAAAGTAAAGACCTTTTTGAACATTAAAGCCTGGACTTGGACCTGAAAATGAGCATAATATGTTCTCTGTACATGATAATGAGCTCTGTGCAGCATAACGTTTCCTGTCTCCTGCTTTAAATTAGTCACTCTGCCTTAGTGGAAGGATTTAGGCACATTTCTGCGGGGAGTGCTGATCAACACAACATCAAATGCTGGAAGTCATTTTTAACTAATTAAGATGAATTGTTTACCTATAATTGATTTGCTATTACTTATTTAAAGTTGGGCATTTGACTAAATCTAACCCACATATCCTCCCCTGTCATTGTCAGGTCAAAGCAGATTGAATCTGCGTGCTTCAGCGGCACAGCAGCCTTCATGGAGGTCCGGATCCAGTCAGTGGTGGTGGAGTTCATCCTGAACCACGTGGATGTTCTATTCAGCTCCAAACTCAGCTCTCTGATACGAGAGGGAGCAGGTACGTTCAGGCAGATACCTCCTCTGCTCACTACATCTCTACACCAGCCAATGCTGCTTCTTCTCGAGCATTAAACACTGTTCTATATCGCCAGGTCACAACTCGTTGTCGCGGCCTAAGTCCCTGCTGGTTTCGTCTCCCTCTACCAAACTCCTGACTCTGGAGGAGGCCCAGGCCAGGACCCAGGCTCAGATCAACTCTCCGGTCACTGAGGACAGCAAGTACATCGAGGTGGGCGAGGGTCCGGCTGCTCTGCAGGGGAAGTTCCACACTGTCATTGAATTCCCCACTGAGAGGTTTGTTAACTCCTCTGTCTAATTTGTCATGTAATCACTATGTGTCAATTGTCATTTAATATACAATCTAAGTAGTAAAGACACACTCTAGGCCCACAGACATCTATCACACGTCTACTGTGTCCATTTAATGTTGGTCAGACTATATTGAAGAGTTTTCCCACCTGCACCAGATTGCCAGTATTTCAGAGGACAGTCGCTGTCTCCAGTTTCAGACTTGGGAAGATGTCCTTAAAGTAGAGATGATGTAAAAAGAAAAGCTTGAATCGAGATGGGATTGATTATTCGTCCCCTGTGTCTGAATCTGTCTTTGAGTTATGGTGTCTACGTGAGTAAGTGAAACTAATTCTTCTTTGCCTGCTTTTCCATTATTATAGGAAGAGGCCTCCTATTAAATCAAAGAAGTCTCCTGTAGGTAGTTGGCGCTCTTTCTTCAACCTGGGCAAGTCTTCCTCCATGTCCAAGCGCAAGCTGCACCGCAACCCCAGTGAGCCCAACGAACTGAAGGCCATGGCACTGGCCGGTGAGTCTTACCTCCTCAATTAGAAGGAAAATAGTCCAATTGTAAAAAGACAGGAGCTTATTTGACTAAAAAATGAAAACAATGCTTAATCCTTGAAATGGCTTTGTTTCAGGAGGCAGAGGAGACTCAGCAACATTAAGATCAGCCAAGAGTGAAGAGTCACTGAGTTCCCTGCACAATGTTGAAGGTAATAATTTGTGTCTTCTCGTTTAATATCACGCATTGCTGCCCCAACTGTAGTAAATAACTATTATAAAAATAGTTTCTGAATATATTATTTTCTTTCTTCAGGAGAGTCGAAGGTGTACCGTCCTCGCAGGCCGCGCTCCAGCAGTGACGCTCTGTCAGCCTCCTTTAACGGTGAGCTGCTGGACAGCCGGCAGCACTGCAACTCCTACGACAACCTGGACGCCACAGATGACAGCGACGGAGACGACGGGCCCATCTGTGTGCCTGCCCTCATCTCTCCCCCCCGCTCAGCAGGTGAGGACGTGGACCTCAGCCCTCCAGACATCGGCATGGCCTCCTTGGACTTTGACCCCATGTCTTTCCAGTGCAGTCTCCCCGACACCTCTTACGCCTTCCCTTTAGATGACTCACCCAAGGGGGCTGAGGGTTCCACGTTAAGGAGGAACCATGTAAGCGCCTGTGGAAAAACCAATGGCTCTGACCTCATCGCTGCCACATTACTGAGCAGCCTGATGTCCACAGACTTCAGCCTGGCCGCTGGACACAAGGTGGAAAGCAACAAACTGACCACTTCCTATTCTTATACTGACAAACCCACACAGGCCGTGTCACCTATTAAATGTGGAAAGACCACTAGTTTAACGCCTTTTCCCACTTATGAGCTTTTCTCTACTGAGGTGCCTGACAGGAATACGGCTGTACAACCTTCATCCCCTTATTCAGCAGCGGAAGAATCTCCTCCCCTGATGGGCAGTGTCCTGCTGAGGGCAGCAGAGCTGTCTCTCAGTGAAGCTTTTCAAAAGGAGCTGCACTCTAAGCTGGAAGCTTTTGACAGTGTGGACAATGGAGAGCTGAAGGGAGAGGACAGCCTGCCGCGGGCGCCAGCTGCCAGCAGCCACGAGCACCAAGGTAGGGAGCAGATAATGACCTTTTTTATTTGTGTACTTTCTTACCTGTTCCATTAAACTATGTAGATTCTTATTTAAGAATAAGGTTTTAAGTCATGCCATTAATTATATGACTGCTTTCTTCTAGGTTTAGTCTCCCAGGCTTGCATGGATTTGGTCTTAAGTAAAATTTAATATTTTCATATGTTACCCAAGCACCACGCTTAACTTTTCCCATCCTCTTCAAGCTCCTTAAATCCAGCCTGCCTGCTGTCATGTCTCTTCTTCACCTGCTGCTCTCTCACTTGTTTGTTCTTCAACTATAGACCCCTTTTGTTTCTGTGTCCCTGCTAGGAGTCGTAGCTCAGGACTCTGCGAAGGACCTCACCCCTCGTTCCTTCAGCTCTGCAGCTCCCTCTACTGCCCCTCCTCCTCCTCCCCCTCCTAAAAACGCTGCCCGCATGTTGGCCCTGGCCTTGGCAGAGTCTGCCCAGCAGGTCTCCATTCAGTCTCAGTCCCGACACTCTGAGCCTTCCACACCGGTGTCCCCCCCGCAGCCACAGGAGACCTCTAACCTCCAGGACACGCCGCATCCACTGGTCACACATTACCTGACTTCGTCCTCCGAGGGAGTAGGGAGAGGAAGTTCCCTGCCACTAAACAGAACTGCCCCCCGTGTCACCACGGCCTCATCGTATGCCCCCACCTCCAGTCCTACAACCACACAGCAGCCTCTAGAGTTAGACAGCATCACTACCAAGCCTTCAGACAGCACCAAATCCCTTACAGCTCCACCTGCAACACAGCCTGGAACAGACACAACGCCACCGGACACTCCTTTATACAAGTGCGCCCCCCTCCCCAGTTCATCCAGCACTCCTCCAAGCATGAAAAGTCCAGAAAGGCAGCAGCCTGTCCCAGCACAGGTCCCAGTACAGAATGCAGTACAGGTCCCAGTACAAATCCCAGCACAGGTTCCAATACAGGTACAGAATACAGTACAGGTCACAGCTCAGATCCCAGTACAGGTCCCAGTACAGATACCAGTACAGGTCCCAGTACAGATCCCAGTACAGGTCCCAGTGCAGATCCCAGTACAGGTCCCAGTACAGGTCCCAGTGCAGATCCCAGTACAGGTCCCAGTGCAGGTCCCAGTGCAGGTCCCAGTACAGATCCCAGTCCGTAGCAACTCACCTACTACCACTCCAGCCCCCTCCCCCAGTGACTGCTACAAAGTTACTGGAGTCTTACCACATCCTGTTCCTAAGGTAAGTCTCACCACTTTTATATATAACTTAGGCTTTAAAAACGATGAAGGCTCTTGTAATGCATTGTAATGGTGAGCTGCAGTAAGCATGATCCAAATGGATCCACTTTATTCCTTGTGCCGCAGCTAAAATGTCACACGATTATTATTATTATCCTCTGGAAACACGTTTCGAGTGACTGTGTCGGGCACCCACTCATCCGTTGAGAGCAGATCGTATGTGTCTAGGGGAATACCTGCTGTCCACTTGACAATCTTTTAATACCCAGTCTAAATCAACGCCTGGAAGTTCCGTTGATACAGTCAGCTGGTTATGGTCGCCTAAAAACGTCAGGCACCTGCTTCAGAGCACTTATGAAGTTGGCAAAACAGTAGGCACATACTAGGTGGTAGAAGACACTGTATGTGTAGTCTTCAGAGATGTGTTGGTATTCACTGGTTTTGTGTGTTTTAAAGCCAACAAATGACAAATACGCCAACGAGAGGCACCAAAACCAGTAGGAAAAGGAAGAACATAAGAGAAACACCTAAATAAGCAGACATTTAGAATGTATGACATGCTGCTGCCGGGATTGGAACTACCCTGCAACCAGACTGGTGACACTGAGCAGAACTGTGAACTTAATCGGTAATAATGTTGTTTTCTTTGTTCTTTGTCTTAGGTCAAACCAGAGGAGACTGCATCACCCCCAAGCCTTTCAAAACCATCAGAGCAGCCCCCTCCTATAGCTCAAAAGCCTAAGAGAAAGGCTATCTCCATCCCCCCGCATCAAACACAACCTCAGCAGCAGAGCCAAGCTCAGATACAGCCTCATCTTCCAATTCAGCCACACATGCAATCACAGGTCCAAACCCAACCACAGCCCCCCTCGAAGGCCAGCGCACGAGTGGCCCCCACCTCTGTGGAGCCTATTGAGAAGCCTTGGGAGGCCATAAAGCCAGTGCAACCCCGTACAGAGTCTGCTAAGTACAACGACGTGTACGGAGCCACACCTCCAGCCCCTCCAGTCCGCACCATCGAGAGCAAACTGGCCACAGCAGCACTTAGCCAAAGTGAAGCCTCCTACCATTGCCTGGGGGAGGGCCCTGTGCCGGGGCATCTGGAAGAAGGTCTGCCTCACCACCCTCCCTCTCCTCGGAAATCTTCCACGCATCAGCCGACCTATCTGTACCACGCTAAAGGAGAACCTGTCTTAATTGAGCCCACAGCAGCTGCATACTACCACCAGAGGCCTCTTCCCAAGGGCCCACAGTCCAAACAACGCCACATGCGGCCAGACAGCGTCTCCCCGCACCTCTCCTATGTGTCCAAGTCGGAGCCTCAGATACCTTACAACGCCCGACTAGACAACAGATACAGCACTTTAGGCCCCAGGTCCTACCACCACTCCATGAAGTCCAGAGGAAACCCCCGCAGTGTGTACATGTCCCCGGGGCCGGGGCATCAGGGTTACAGCCACGACAGACCCCAAGGCTATCCCACCATCCGCAGAGTGCACTCCCTCCACGTTCCCTCCACTATTCGCACCGTGCCTATCCACAGGACTGAAGTTCCTCCAGATGATGATATTTTCTTCTACCATCGACCCATGTATCCGTGCAAAGCCTACCAGCAGCCCCCGCAGCAGCCCTCCCATCAGCAGCCCTCCCATCAGCAGCCCTCCCATCAGCAGCCCCCCCATCAGCAGCCCTCCCATCAGCAGCCCTCCCATCAGCAGCCCCTGCAACAGCCCCCCCAGCAGTCCTCCTCTCAATCAGACTACCACGTAACCCAGCTGCAGCCTTACTTTGAGAATGGCCGGGTTCAGTACCGCTACAGTCCGTACTCTGGTTCAAGCCCTTTGGAGGCGCCTTTCTATGACATCGATCCTTACGGCACCATCAGAGTCCGGCACTTGCCCTCCAATGGGGGCCGAGATCCTGGAGCCGCTGCTGGCCGACCGGGTGGAAAGGCGACTGGGTACCACTTCCTCGCTCGCCATGTTCTCCCACCTGGGATGGAGCACAGCTTTGTGAGCAGGGACATGCCCCCCAGTCATGGGAACAAGGAAGGTGCCACTTACCTGGCCTGGGACCCGGAGGAGTCAGAGAGGCTCCGCATGCACTCAATCCGCAGGGAGAGCAGGGCCAGACAGAAGATCAGAGGCCCTGTCCTCTCTCAGTACGACAATGTTGGCTTATTTGCACCGGCAGATATATCAGGCTATGAAACGCTGCACCTGCGCAGTAAATCTGACCCCGGCAAAGCTGTGCTGGTTGCAGCTGAGAGCAAAGATGGCCGCTACCTCCCGAGACACTTGGTGTCTGACCCGGAAGTCCTCATGTACATGGAGACTGATAAACACTTCCAGGGCAGCGCTGTGGGAGAGAAGTCAGATGGACTCCCCAAGCAAAGCGGTACCAAGAAATGCCAATCATCTCACTCCCTTCCGGCGACTCTGAGCCACAGCCTGTCCTCTCAGGAAGGCGGCCGGCACGAGGCCGGAGACGAGCCGCTAGGTGGAGACAGCGGCAGACCCAAACTCCGGCAGCAGGAGTATCAAAGCCAGAGGAACATCCAACCACGTTACGAATGTCCTGATTCTGAACACAACCAGAGAAAGGTGAAAACATCCAGCAGCTACCACGGTACAGAGGAGCAGCCGTCGGCCCCCTGGGAACAACTGAGCCACTCCAACCTGGAGCGGTCACACAGCATCCGGGAGCAGGGCCACCCTGACCTGGACAGGGACTACTCTTGTCAGAATCACGGCACTAAACAGGTGCACTCCCACTATGATAATTTGGACGATTACCACCCGGTACCTCAGCCTCAGGTCCCGGTTCAAACCCGCGGGGGCTCCTTTCCCACCCCAGGGTTCACAGTGAGCCACGGCAACACAGCATACTCCACAGCACTGGGCCAGGGAGCCTTCATCCAGGCCGAGCTGGCCCTGCAGAGGCAAGAGATAGAGATACTTACAGAATAAAGCATTTAAGGGGGGGGACACAGCTAAAGAAAAATTATCTTTAGCTGTGTAGAAGAAAGACTATTGAGCTATGGTTGCAGCCTCTGCAGGACAGCGGCCTGTCGTATCACCAATATTTTTGCTCCTCTGTATTTTTAAAGACTTTTTAAAGAGAGTCCTGAATGTACCGGAAGCTAATGTACAAGAGGTCCTATTGTTGTGATTGATTGAGACAGTAGCCAGTCATAAATGTATATGATATGAATGATGTGAGGTACTTTGAACAGCAACACAAAAATGTGAAATATATACACAATATATATATATATCTATATATATATGTATATATATATTAGGATAACTAGAAAAAAGAGACTTTTTTTTTTTTTTAGGTGTGGCGCTGGGTATGAGCACAGAGCGGGGATTAAGGGTATGCATTTCAGAAATGCATGCACTCTATCTCTCTAAATTCTGTGTACTTCACTATCCCCTGCATTCTTTGTGTGTTACAGCAGGAGGGGGACATGTAGGTTATCGTCGCCCCCCCCCCCCCCNNNNCCCCCACCTGCTGACATGCACACAAGTCATTGAACGAGTCCCTGTTTGTCTCGGAGAATCAGACGTTAAAAAATGTGATGTGAAGGAGCCACAATGGGTTACTTTGAGTTAATACAGAGGTTATCAATGTCTTATTTTCTGTGTGACTGTGACATTTTTTATGTAACTTTGCTATAAACAGATTTCAATGACTTCTAAGGAATGTTTTGGTACTTGTTTGTTCTTCATCGAATGTGGGACCAAACAACTTGGTGCAGTTGTTGCACATACAGGATAAAGAGGGGACGTGGAAGAATGCCTGTTATACCTTTTTAGATGTGTGTGAGGTTATTTTTATTTCCTTTTTTTCTTATTTATCACATTCACATTACTTTCATGAACTGGAATAACTGAATAAAGCTGAAAACAATGTCCTCTAAAACAATGTGGTGAAGAACATGTTGCTGCAGAGTTGTTTGGAAAAGAACACTTGGTGACAAAGACCATTTGGTGTTCACTTTACCATTGTCATAATGCACAAACATTGTGATATCTCGATAAAGATCACTTTAATGATTTTTGACAGGTCAGGGTTGAAAGGGGACATAATGGGTTCACTTGTTTTGTGTAGGAGGGAGCACCCGTAGATATTTGGGGCCATTTATTTCTGGTTTCATGTCTTGAAATCAATGTTTAATACATTAATCTGGTCCTACGTGACCTTTTGCACCATCATTTATGGATTACAATATGTTGTCCTGATCCAGGTTGTACTCTGTAACTGTTTGACTTCTATATCGCTTGCAGGTTTTGCTCCTCTTGCCTTATCTAAAGCCTCTCCCTTTCCAGATGGGGAACTGAAGGAAGGCACTGTGTACTTGAATGTGAAACAAAACACTCTAGTGTCAAACTAGAGGTATCTACAGTAAGATATGAAATAAATAAAACTGTTCAGGAATAGCTATAATCCATGTCTTTTAATATGTCCATGATATTAATATACACCTCTGCTTGGCTATGTCTGACATTTACTTGAAGGACAAACTGGACAATTTAGTTTCGGAGATAAGAGCACAAAACACAATTCATTAATTATAGATTGAACCAGGTTTAACACAATGGCCGTGTGTGAACTCATTTATATGAGGGTTTCTTTTCCTCATAGACCATTCGACTGTAAAGCATAAAAGTCATTTATTTCTCTTTTTGAGTCGAATACATTTAGAGTGTATTTTTAAGGATTACTGACTAGTCAATACAACTGCACGATTAGAGGAAAATATATTTGATGAGCACTAATATGCACTATAACTTGCCAAAAGTAAAAGCTAATTTCAAAGTTTACTCAGTTTTAGTATTCTGCTGCTTTCAGTATACTGTTTTATTAAACAGTAGGTCATTTTGGGCCAGAGAGCCTTTACTGGTGCTATCGAAGTTGAAAGGGGGAAACAGAGGGGAGGACATTGCCTGAAATGTTCGGGATTGGAACCAGTTTACTGGCAGCGGTGACTGCATATGAGCCACCAGCTCTAACCAATCTGTCAGTATACTGTTAAATCACAAAAAAGTACTTGTTGAGTAAAAGAAAATTAGAGCAAATGATCTCCAATATTTGTATATTGAATATTGAATTGAACACAACATTCATCAATACAAACAGTAAATAGAATAAGAAAAGTGCAGTTTTCCACTGATAATCCATTTCAACTAACTAAAATAATTCTATATCAATGTGCAATATCTAAGTCCTTTTTTAAAGTGTTCATCAAGTTGACATTACCATGGCGATATACAAAAAGAATATTTTGCAGACCTACTAGTCCCAGTAATGCCATGCTGCTTTTAGAAAATATAAGGTGTCATGTTCCCCAAAGTTGTTTGCCACTACGAGAGATGTTTTTCTTTAAGTGGGCCTTTGTTTGTTTAGTTTGCCTCATGCATGCACGTGTTGAGTGGTGCAGTAGAGTCCTGCAAACAGATTCATGCAAGTGTTTCTCATCCATATCATCACTGCTACAGCACGTTCGCCAGATTCACCTCATCTCTCCAGCTGAAATAATTTCATATTCATAAACTATGGCGGCCTCCAGAGTTGGGTTCGTGGTTCCCTTTTTTTCATCCTATAAATACTAACTTTTGGTAATGTCCTTCCTAACAGCCTCCATTTTAATGTACGACAATATACGATAACTATAACCTTCCTATCTGCTGCTAAATGCAAAACTCTGCTCAACTGCACAATTTTTAAATATCTATGGGGCCCTTTACACCTCCTGCCTTGCCTTTTCAACCAAAACTCAACTATTCTTACTTGCTTTTCTCCCCTTACCTCTAAGTAAGTCTTTCTCTCTTCTAGTGCTGAAAAAAAAAGACAAATACAATCACAAATGTTATTACGTTGTCGATATAGCCTTTAGCGATAAGCGTTATCATTATTTAGCCGGATGGCCCTAATTGACTCCTTACTGCCATCGCTGTGACCACTAACACAAATGTCCCCTCCTCGAATCCTTGGTCCTCCGGTAGTGACCCGGAAATGGTTTTCGGAGCGCCATGTTGAAGGACATCTAATTTCTCTAAATGCATATCGAGGATCGAGCGTCGAGGAGGCTCTCTGGAGGAGCTATAATCAAGGATACACTGATGTGTCCTCCACGGCTCCTCCGCGGATGCATATCCGGCAACAGTGATGTTTAAAAGAGTCGTGACTCGTGACCAAGCGGCAAACTCTGGGGCAGAGCCGGGAGGCCAATAAGGAAGTGCCACAAACTGCAGTTCATCTATTGGCCGATAGGCGATGACTGCAGAAACGATGAATTTCCATAGACCCCGTGTTAAAATGCCCAACTTTACAGCAGGAATAAACATGTTTATGCCCCTGGATGCAATAACAATTATTCAGGATATAGTTAGATTCCACCTTAATGATTATTAATTGTCGAGTGAATTGTTTTATAACGTGACCCTTTTATTTATATTAGGTCTTAAAATATTTGCATAAATTAGGGCGTGGTCACTTTGATGGACAGGTACGTGCCTCACTGTCAGCTAACAGCAACTTGTCCATTCTGCTAGGCTACAACGTTAGCTAGTTGTAGTTTTACTTGACCCTTTAGCCGTGTTTGTGGTGATTGTGCCTTTTAGGGAATGTTGTTACAAATACCAGACCATTAAAATGGTGTGCTGTGCGGTTGAATGTACTAACAGAACTTCCAAGAAGTCTAAAATGATAATATTATACATGTTAACCCCGTTAGCAGGTGTTTGTGTGCTTGTTAGCTAAGCTTGTTAGTCAGCTAAGGACGTAACCCTTTATACATGTGTGTGTGTGTGTATATATATATATGTATATATATGTATATATATATATATATATATATATATATATGTATATATATATACAGTTTAGTTTATGATTCAGCTTAGGGTAAGACTTTTATAGTCTATGGCTATGACGGCCATAATGCTAAACGGGAGCTTTACTGGCATTGATCCGGACCATTGACCTTGTATAAAATTCAAATTCACAAGTGGACCTTTAACAAAAAAGTTTGAGTACCCCTGACCTAGGCTGTTCAACCTGTGCAATTTTTTAACTGTGCAATACAACATAATTTGTTTTGCCTTATCTTTAATACACATTTCTACATATATATTTTTGTTATGCTTGTACAAGGTGAACATTTTAAGTTGAACTGTGGATTTATTTTATTCTAAAATGGAGCAACTGTTCTAAAACCCACTTTCCCCCCGTTTCCATGTTTTTAAGAAGGGAAACTAGATTAGGATTGTTGATATGGCGCCCATAGGGGGCACTGCAGATGAAACATGATTTAGTGCTCCAGGGCCAAACATCCATAAAACAACATAAATGTTGCTAATCAATCAGCATCTTTCAGCATCGGTGTTGGAACAACCTTCCTGTCATAATGACAGATTACACCATGTTTGCTTCAATTTTATCCAGATGAACTGGAATATGTAGAATGTAATGCTGTAAAGCTTTACTTGTTGCTATATTTTCTAAATGTACTGTCCTTCCTGTTTCATTATCATGACCAATCAGGGGATGGGGGAAATTCAATCATAAATGTCAGAACAAATTGGAATTTGTTTTATATCCACTGACCCACTTGCTGAATTGGACATTTAACAAAATCATTAAAAAAAAAAAACATGTCAAAAAACTATTAAAAAATGATTGCAAAAAAATATATCATTGTATTGTCTCTGTCTGTTCTACGAAATGTTAAATGTTATTAGCGTCTTGATAATCCTATTATTTTTGTCATGCTCCTAATTATTTCAGAGCATATCTTTATCTTTGGCCTGATTTCTAAACATTATTATTTGTTTCCCTTGTGCAGTTCTGTAATGTGTATGCCACTATAAATGATTATGATTCAGTCAGTTACATAACAATATGTGTAACTTTTTTATTATTAGGATATTGCCGCACAAAGGTTATTGGACCTAAAACTAAAGTTTCAGTTGGGAAGTTTCAGTGTTTACAAATGCTGCCAGTTGCATTGTGGGAGACAGATGATTGACACGGCCGCCATTTTGCTCCGCTTCCATTGTGTGAGAGATAGTAAATATCTGAAGCTGCCAGACAGTCACAACTCACTTCTATCGTTGCGAAGAAAAAGCGCTAAAATCACACTTGGTAAGTCACATTTCGGTCATACTTTAAAAATCATATAATACTATGTATAGTTTAACATAGCAAATGAGTAGAATAAAGTTGTTTTTGTTCTGAAATAGCGTGTTATTTCGACGCTGTTTTGGAAAGAAAAGGCAGCTGCCCGAGGTCCAGGCAGGAGAAACACGGCTCAGTACTTCCCCTGCCGAGAGAGCTGCTCCACTTTCATATGTGCCCTTTCTACCTTGCTGTTCCGCTTTAATATAGCACCGCTTCACACGCCTTGGCGCTTGTTTGATAGCTACACTTGTCCTCCACGTTTTGTTGGTATTCTTTTGTTTACATGTTGTATGCATTTAAGGAAAAATATAAAAGTTTACGTCTCAGTCATAGCCTGAATACTGGTAGCTTAATTTCGGTCTGCGGCCATAATCTTGCGGAATGAGGCGGGGCTAATCCTGTAAATGCCGCCCCTAAACTCCGCATTAGGAACACCATTGGTGCTGAAATGTGACACCGAAAACACGGGTTGGTGCATTTCAGAATTATGACTGTGATTGGTGCGATGGGGAGCCACAGGGCCCGCATTGGCTCGGTGTGTCTCTGAACACCGTGGATGTGGGCAGAGAAGCTAAACACAAAACCGAAACCAGGGTAAAGTTTTCCCAGGCTTCGGGGGGCGTTAATTAAAGGTGTATGGCTCGAGTTTGGACTACAAACAAACTTAAGAAATAAGGTGATACATATGAAGATAATTGGGTAAAAATACGGTGCCAATAATAAACAGGGAATACCATTCTTTAAATTCTACATTTAAAACGTGGCTGACGTCTCACTTTTTAACACAGAATTATGATTTATTCAGTATTTATTTATGTATTTCAATTGTCTTACAGTATCTATTACTGCCTTTTTTGTTTTAGGGCTATCAAAATTAGGCTAAATGTTTTGCTTGTGATTATTAAGTTATAGATTTGATGATTCAGCCTTTTTGTTTAGGAAAAAAAAATTCACAGACCCGATGGTAACAGGGCATGACTTTATATTTTTGATATTGTGCTCAGGTGATACTCAGAGGAAATGGCTCGTACCAAGCAGACTGCTCGTAAGTCCACTGGAGGAAAGGCTCCTCGTAAGCAGCTGGCCACCAAGGCTGCCCGCAAGAGCGCCCCCTCCACCGGTGGGGTCAAGAAGCCCCATCGTTACAGGTAACACCTTTCCCTCCAAATAGATATCATTTTTGTAAGATGGATGCTGAGGATGTTTGTTTATTATAATTTATAACATACATTTTAACTGGAAAATCTTAAATATAGATTTTTGTTTGGCTGCTGTTCTTGGGTTGCATGTTGTTCCCCAGCAGGTTAAATATACTGATCACAGTGACAGAACTAAGTGTGACATATGCATTGTTTTTTCAGTAGATGGAACCCATATAGCATGTAGGAGGTTGAATGAACCTGAGCTGTGTTGTGTGTTTCAGGCCCGGTACTGTGGCTCTGAGAGAGATTCGCAGGTACCAGAAGTCCACTGAGCTGCTGATCCGCAAGCTGCCCTTCCAGCGCCTGGTGAGGGAGATCGCTCAGGACTTCAAGACTGACCTGCGTTTCCAGAGCGCTGCCATCGGAGCCCTGCAGGTGTGTGTGTGCACAAAATCTACTTGTAAATGTGATATATTTCGTTTTAATATAAACACAACATCTATTGCACGTCTGTCCGTCCTGGGAGAGGGATCCCTCCTCTGTTGCTCTCCCTGAGGTTTTTTCATTTTTTTCCCATTAACTGTGGGTTATCTTTTGAAGTTTTTCCTTGTCCGATGTGAGGGTCTTGGAAAGAGGGTGTCATATTCATATTCTGTACAAACTGTAAAGTCCCCTCAGACAAATGTAAAATGTGTGATATTGTGCTATATGAATAAACATTGATTGGTTGATTGAAAATATATTGATAAAGCTAAAATAAGCATGAAATGCTATTTTTAAAAGTGCAGACTTATTTTGCTAACATGTGTGACCCTTCCCCCTGCAGGAGGCCAGTGAGGCGTACCTGGTGGGTCTGTTCGAGGACACCAACCTGTGCGCCATCCACGCCAAGAGGGTCACCATCATGCCCAAAGACATCCAGCTGGCACGCCGCATCCGTGGGGAGCGCGCCTAGACGGCCCCCCTCTCGTCTGTTCTATTTTTCTCTACCTGTTCCTACCCTCACTCCTTTATCCCACTCCCCCCNAGTCCGTCCCTCCACACCCCAGCCCCCCGTTTCTCTGCAGCTGTACCTTTTCTAGCGCCCCCCCTCACCATGTGTTTGTGTGTATGTGGAGCTCTGATCTGTAAACCTCTTGTGCTCAACAAACAGAAATATTTTGGTTGCTTAAGAATATTGATTATCGTTGTGGATATGGTGTCTATTTTTTTTACGCATTTAAATCATGATAAGCATCTCTTTTCGTACCACTTCCAAAATCATCAAATTATGGGGGGGAAAAACAAATGTATTCCACACGGTTTTCAGTTGTTTTTTTACCCTGGTCTGATTTGCGTAATAATATCAGTAAGGGCTCCTCTGTTCTCCAATGCAACGATTCTGATGGCAGCCACAGTGGGGCTCCTCTCCTCGACGCTCTGTAGATCAGTCTCACATTCTCTCCATCTCTCTCTCCACACAGCTTCACACTCGCAGTATGAATTGACATTATAGTGAACATTTCACTCTGCATGGTTATGGTCTTTGTCCCTGTAGATCTGAACATATAATCTGTCCCTTTCTCAAAATTTGTGATACACAATATAACCTCATATTTGTTTTATTTTATATTTTTCTTATTCCTGAAGATTTTCAAAAATATAAATAAGCTGATCTTTGTATTTTCCAAACGTCTCATATTATGGTGGTAATAAATAGGTGTTAAAACAAACTAATGCTGGTTGTTGTGATTGTTTGCTTGACATGGTTTCTCTGAGGCACAGGCCATTTCTCAATCGCGAGTACACATGCTGCAGAGCAACTATTTCAAGTATACTACGTCATAGAGTGGTGCCGAAGGACTGTTTAAATGCATGTTAAATGCCCAGCATTCTGCGCCACTCTATGACGTAGTATACTTGAAATAGTTGCTCAGCAGCATGTGTACTCGCGATTGAGGAACGGCCACTGATTTGTGTTAGTGGCTATACACTGACATCTGTTCAAGGGGACTCCAATGAGTAGGGAAGGGTACATGTATGCCCTCTAGTGGAAGCATCTCATCCACTTTAACCAGATTGCATGTCAGCAATACAAAGTCCTTCTACATTAGCAAGTATTTATTTTGTTAGTTTCACTCTGAAGATTAAGATTTAAAAAATAAAAGCATATAAATGACAAAACACAACAGTTAAAGTTCACAGCCAGCACACAGCATTACAAAGCTACTGATGTTCATTTCTGAGTCATAAAATGTTTCCAATACGTTACATTTTTCAACACCATTCAATTATAATGGATATAATTATAATTTATATAATTACAATTGATATAATTATTGTTATTTGGCAGTAAAGCCTGAGATAGTACCTTTTAGATGATTGATATGGATAAATCCGACTATAGGAACCATGTGTTGTGTTTGTGGGGTGTTGTAAATCTCAGTCCTCCTCACAATAAAGAGCACATTCACATATCAACACATTAAGTCAATAAGTGCTAATATGCCACTGACATACATTTGTATTGACAAATACCTCAGGTATCAATAACTCATTTAGGGGTAACTCCTGTTTGTTTGTTTGTTTGTTCAGTTCATTTGGAATAATGATATTCAGTTTTCAGTGGAAATGTCAGAGTTATTCATGACTTCCTCTATAGTGATCATACCTTCTGCTTAATGTTATTTAGGAAAATAGATCAAATGTGTACCCTCTAGTATTTTTCATTTTCATTTTCCATCTTTATTTCAAACAGATGAAAAAAAATCAAAAGACAGAAACAAATGTTAAACAGAATACCGAATTGCTAGAATTTTTTTTTTTTAAATATAAATTGTCAAACTATATTAATACATTCAACAATATTTATACATTTTACAAAAATAAAGTGTCCAAAAAGGAGCAGGAGGAAGCAAATTCTTAATAATTGTGATGTGATTGTGGTGATGAGCGGTTCCTGAGTTCCTCCAGACATGATGCTTGGCATTCAGGCCAAATTTGGTTTCATCAGACCAGACAATTTGGTTTCTCATGGTCTGAGAGTCCTATAGGTGCTCCATGTGGGCTTTCATGTGCCTTTTACTGAGAAGTGGCTTCCTTCTGGCCACTCTACCATAAGGCCTGATTGGTGGAGTGCTGCACAGATGGTTGTCCTTCTGGAACAGGGGTGTAAAACTAAAATACACAGTGGGCCAAAATTCAAAAATGGGTACTAGTCGAGGGCCGGACTGGTTCAATGTTTATTGCAAAACTTGTTGAAATGAAGTTATTGCACATATTAAACCTGGAACTAACAAAGCTTAAATGATTGCCTATGAAAACAACATTAAACATTAAATAATCAGTTGCATTCATTTCTCATGTCTCTATCTGCAGCTTTTCCCGAGTCATTTCTTATGATTACATTTTCCCACAGGCCAACAACAGCTTCAAAAAAACAATTTCCCTCAAAGAAAAAGCCAAACATGCCCTGTTGTCGTGAGAGAAAAAGTGCAGAAGGAAACATCCATGTAAACTCAGTGTGCTGCTCTGTGATGCTAGTTCAAGCCATACTTGGCATCTCATCTTGGGTGCAAGTTCATCAATGTTTGGGCTCAGGCTCTGAGCTGAGGAGACCCTCAGGATGGAGTGAAATATACCGGCGGGCCAGATCTAATAGTAATTAAAAATTATCCTGCGGGCCGAAATTAAATCCACCAAGGGCCTGATTTGGCCCCTGGGCCTTGAGTTTGACACGTGTTCTAGAAGGTTCTCCCATCTCCACCGAGGAACACTGGAGCTCTGTCAGACTGACCATCGGGTTCTTGGTCACCTCTCTGACTAAGGTCCTTCTCCCTCAATGCTCAGTTTGGTTTGGGCAGCAAGCTCTAGGAAGAGCCGTGGTGGTTTCAAACATCTTCCAATTGCAAATGATGGAAACCACTGTGCTCGTTGGGACCTTCAATGCTGCAGACGTTTTTCTGTACCCTTCCCCAGATCTGTGCCTTGATGCAATCCTGTCTCTGAGGTCTACAAACAATTCCTTGGACCTCATGACTTGGTTTGTGCTCTGTCAACTGTGGGACCTCATATAGACAGGTGTGTTCCTTTCCAAGTCATGTCCAATCTATTTAATTTACCACAGGTGGACTCCAGTCAAGTTATAGAAACATCTCAAGGATGATCAGTGGAAACGGGAAGCACCTGAGCTCAATTTTCATTGTCATAGCAAAGGGTGTGAATACTTATGTACATGTGATATTTCATTTGATGATTTTTAACACGTTTGCAAAAAATTCTTTACATTTTTTTTCTATTTGTCATTATGGGGTATTGTGTGTGTGGAATGTTGAAAAGTTCTCCTCTCAAATGATACCGCCCTTGTCTTTCCATAAACATGTTCTGTTCGCCGGGAGTAGATTATGTCTTGCTTTGTATGATGTGCGCAGTTTTACATTTAACTAGATCAGTGAACTTCAGTGTATTAGACTTTAAGAATAATGAATTGGTGTGTTCAAGATATCCAACATTTTGGATAATTCGTATTGCTTTTTTTTTTTAATCGGAGGATGAAACCCTCTTCATTGGTCACACATTCATGCACACAGCACACACAGTGACATTCGGTCTCTGCTTGTACCCCATCCTAGGAGCAGTGGGCAGCTACTGCACAGCGCCCGGGCAGCACATGTGTGTAATGTGCATAGCAGCTGTAGGTTGGTTTTGTAAGTATTTCCCCAAATCTCCAAACTCAGAACTGGCAATATGAGTGTGTAATACAGGATAATGATGTGGTCCAGACAGTGTCTTGATTTTCCCAATATTGCTTTACATCGTGATTCTGATCAAAGACAAACTTTTTACCACATTTCTATTTTTTTAAACAGGACATGTAAACACTTTGCATTATTCTTGTACTTTACTTGGGTATTTTTTATTTACGCAATGTTATACTTTTACTAAATTGTACATTTTGGAAGGCAATGTTTTACTTCAACTAATACATGATGATGTATTTTCATGGATTAAGCTTTTCCTCAGAAAACAGGTGGTCTAAATGATCTACACCTTTACCAGCTGCAAACTCTAGGGATGCGGACACAGAAATGCATCAATAATATCAATCCAGTGATATTATATATTATTCTGCATAATGTCTTTTAACTTCTGTATTGTAAGTACATTTTTATGGCAACCTGTTGAACTCGAATAGATGTTCATGTCATATCTACACTGTGGTATTTCTCCCTTTACTGAAGTTCCAGATCAGAGAACTTCTTGATACATTCAAGACAACACAGCAACAACGAGTGTTTCCTCGTCAGATGGTGTGCCGTGTTTTTGTTTTCTGCAGCTAACCTTCCTCAAGGTCTGCCTGGTTCTTTCCCTCCCCCATCACATCTGCTCCTCCCCGGATTACAGCACAAATGTCTGTCTGAAACTCTCAGTGCTGAGGGGGGAGATTACAGCACTGCACCCTCCGAGAGGTTAACCAATCAGGGTGCACGGACGTAGGGATTAACCAATCGCACGGCAGAGAGGGAGGGCAGAGGGATTACAGCAGCACAGAGTGGGATTAGGTCAGAGCGGAGTGCAGAGAAATGCTTTTAAATCTGTCCCGCTACCCCTTTCAACTCTCAGAGCAATACAGCTGCATTTATGATGGAACCGTTGTGACATTTTACATGGTTGAGGACAGATATAAAATAGGATATACATAGCAACACATCTTTTATTTTTTTGTCGCCTGTATCAGAATTACATGAGAGAAATCTGGAGGAATAATTTATCCAAACTTTTATTTTGATTCAGCTGACAAACAATTATCATGTAATTTGCACAAAATCTTCTATCGTAACCAACCATGTCATAATAATAATAATAATACCTTAGGATGGTCATTTTATAGAAACCTACAATTTTATTTAACTATAAATAAATGACAAAATATTGGAACTCAATGAGAGGGAGGTTCATTTTGTACCGAGAATAAATCTTCTCTTTTTCCTTCTCAACAGAAACCCTTATGAAAACTGTTCACATATTTATTCATATTATTATTATAAAACATTTAAGTTTGCATGGCAGTAATCAGGTCATGCAGGGATTACTATGCAGTCAGAGGAGTTGGGGAGATTGGTAGGGTGGGGGCGGGGTCCAGGAGGAGGTAAAGGATGGGGAACCACTGAACTGACAGATCAAAACTGGAACAATAAGGAATACAGCTGCAGTGAAATGCTTTAATAAACTGCACTGTTGTCATTGGTTTGGCTGGTTTGGAACATAACATGGTTTCTTTTAAATAACAAATATTAGGTTCAACTGAATAATATTGCTTTCAACTAACCTATACAGTTATGTGAAATGTGTTGACATAATACATTGAATTAAAGTCAACGTTTCAGTTTTCCCAGAGTATGTTCTTTTTGGTGGTGCACAGGGTGAGTGGGATACACTTGATAAAGGCAGACACCCTGAGAGAAAACAGGCAGAGTAAAGTCATGCTGCAGGGAAGAAGTAAAGGTAGATAAAGAAAGAAAAGATGGAGGACAAAAAGAAAGGGGTCAGGACAGGAAGAGAAGGCCAAGTGAGTGTGATGGGTGAGACAGAGAGAGACAGAGGGTGATAGGGCAATAATCCCAACTAATTCACTTAGGGCATTGCTGAAGGGAGGCTAAGAGGATTGGAACACTCCCAGAATGAGATCAACTAAAATAACCAAGATGGAGCAGTGGGAGCATGGACAACATGAACATGGCCACTTAACATCCACTGTCCCGTCTCCATGATGACCTCTCACTGTGGATCCTTGTAACTCACTTAGTAATAACCCTGCAAACACAAACTATAATTCAGTTGAAAGAATCTCAATGATTGTCGGTGCACAGAGAGTTAAGTATAGATCCTTTTAATAAATGACACAACTTAAACAGAAACTCTATTTTTTCCATCAAACATTTTGGGATGATAACACTAAAGGCTAACACTGTAATACGCAACACAAATGCTCAACAATATCTAAACCAAATGACATATTTGAATGTAGCATTAAATAATAATAAATATCTTAAAATGATGAACCCTTCACTCTATGACAATGCACATTAAAACAAAATCAAACGCACAGAAGACATGGCTCAATGTGTGCTTTTTTTTTACAAACTCTTGAGGCTTCTGGTCTCTTATTTAACCTAGCATAAAGAAGAGAACATGCATGATTTGCAGAGAGGCAGTGTGATGACACACACTGGGCCTTCTTCTCCAAAGTCATTCAAATAAAATGCATTTCTACAGAGGACACCTTTAGAAAATAAAACAGAATGTTACAAACAGGAAACTGAAGATCAAAGAGAACGAGTCCTCTGGCAGACCTCTTCTCACTATCTCTCACACCGACACACAGCGCGTTGATACACATAAACACCACCTTTATCACGCAGCATAATTGAGAGATTACAGGACCTGGAACTTCCAGGAGTTCTGGTCCTTGTGGTCCAGGCAGTCCATTGTGGTGAAGCCCAGTTTCCAGGCCTGCTGGTCCTTGTAGTCCAGGCAGTCCACAGAGGTGAAGCCCAGGGAGGAGGCCGTGCTGTAGCCCTGTGATGACAGCGAGGCCGGGGACTGGCTGAGGGAGCCCCCCATGGAGGGCACTGTGATGGGGCTGAGGGCCCCCACGGTGCCGGACAGCTGCGAGTGCATGGGGGACAGGTAGGCGCTGCAGTCCAGGCCGGTGAAGTAGGAGGTGGTGCTGGCGTAGCCCTGGGAGTAGGCCGACGGCTGGCCGTAGCTCATGGGGTAGGGGGAGGGCCGCTGCATGCAGGGGGCCGAGGAGGCCAGAGGGTCGGGCAGGGGGGAGATGGCCGGACTCCAGATGGACACGGATGTGTTTCCATTGCTGGAGCTCGGGATCAGGCTGGGCCCTGTCTGGGCGGAGGAGGGGCTGTAGGAGCCGGAGGGGTTAGGGCCGGGATCAGGGGCGCTGACTTCCTGCAAGGGAGAGGCCTTCTTCTTGGGGGGCCGAGGCTTGGACTGGCCACTGCTCTGCTGCAGCTGCTGGCGGCACTTGGCACGGCGGTTCTTAAACCAAACCTGGAGGAGCAGAGGAAAAGAAAAAACGTGTAAGTACAGAGAATGTCAGACATGCTGATACCTGAAGGTGTAAATGACTTGTGGGGTACGGACTTATGAATGACTTATGTAACTGAAGTGTTATACTAAATGCAAATGCAATATGCTGCTGTTCTTCTTCTGTAGAGGAAATGTGTGTCCTTTAGGGTACATCAGTATGTAACCCACAGACACCTAACTGTATGGCCTCCATCTTGGCAGTAACCATCTTCTCCGTTACCTGAACACGTGACTCTGGCAGGTTGATCTTGAGGGCCACCTCCTCCCTCATGAAGATGTCGGGATAGCGGGTTTTGGAGAACAGCGCCTCCAGGATGTCCAGCTGTGTGCGGGTGAAGGTGGTGCGCTCTCTGCGCTGCTTCCGGGGAGTGGCTGCAAACCCAGGAGACGGAGGGGATTATTATTATTCTGCAGCACAGAGCTGACCTGAATTATGTGCAGCACTCAGGCTCATATTCTAGAGGCAACACGACATGTCATCTAAGTCATTTTTTTAGGTGGTTTGATGTTTTCCAACTATGTGTAGATGACAACAAGAGCACGTACATTATGATATTCTTTATAATCCTGACTGTGTTCTGTCGTCAATATGAGGGCAGAAGTGTTTTTGTTTGTTAGATTGATAGACACTGGTCCTTTCAAGAGTTTCAGTTTTCCCAAAAACGAAGACACATTACGCTCCACTTAATGTGTTTCACTATAGTTAAGATATTTTAAATCACTCTGTATATGCCAGATGTTACATTTTAATCAAAGATTACTGAAGCGTTAATATATGTAGTCATTGTAATGTAGCAATTAGCACATTAATTGTCTCTTGTATACCATCTATCGATCTATATTTATCTCAGCGTCACCGACGTCATTACATTTTGAAAGGAAAAGTGAAAAACATAAAGTAATACAAATCTCTTTCAAATCTATTTGTGGTTCCCGACAGCCACTGTCAGTTTATGTGAGTTTCAAAGCTTTAAACAATATTCATTTTATCTGCGAATTAACAAATGTATGTGTTAATCAATGTTACTCAACGTAATATACAAATGAGTAATTCATTTAAATCATCGACCTCTCATAACCACGGGTACACTCATATTTATTTGGCTAAATTTAATATAGTAATGATACTTTAATCGTACAATAACTATTTCTGACATTACTTTTTTTCAGTATTGGCTCTAATGAAACAAAGTGTTTATCCTGTCATTTATTTGTCGTTCGCCACAGCGTTACGCACAGCCTGCGCGCCTTTACGCACCATGTTGACTCGAATAAATACTTTAAATGACTAAAACAGCAGGAAACACATACTTCAAAGTAAATTAAAAATCAAATATGAAAGAAAACATAAGTTTATACTTACAAGGATAAGCGATGGTTGTGTGTAGCACGTCCATTCCCTGGCCAGGCAAATTTAACCCGTTCATGGTGTAATGGGGTTGCTTTATGTAGGACATCATCCTGACAGCAGGCGTTTAAGTCCTGTCGGGGACTTGTATGTCGGACACGCAACACAACGACCGAGGGCCCCACAGAGCTCCACGGGGCCACAGGTCGCGGCTCCTGGTCCAACCCGCGCCGAGTTCAACGGAGGAACCTCCAAGTGTTTTTATCTACCTGTAGTTTGAGTCCCTCCTGGTTGTGAGCTCAGCAGCGGCTCTCTGCAGCTCTGACTCTCCAATCTGCCGCTCTTTCCGTTAGGTCATCACTCAGGTGAAGTGGCCCCGCGTGCTTGTGCGCCTTGGTGAGGTCGCTCTAACTGAGTTCTTCACCGGCACACGCTGCTAATTAGAGGGAGCAAGTGGCTTCGGCAAACCCCTCCCCTCCCACCCCCCCGGTCCGTTAAAATTGGTCCAAGTACCACGATTTACACCAACGAATACATCCTGTAGTAGGACTGTCGTCCGCAAATTCAGACAGCCCTGAAACATACAGCCCCTGTGCGTTGGTTAGCTGCTCCCGGGTGTCTACGAGGTCCCCGTGTCCAGCGCCGGAGGACCAGGTTGGCGCGGCTCAAGTTGCCCTCCTTGAGTTCACAAAATAAGATGACATCAAACAGGGAGGACCAACACTCGAGGTCGTCGCCGAGAGACGTCGAGACTGAGAGGTAGACGGGCGAGAAAGGCAATCCTAGTGAGTCCCACTTACCGGGCCGAACGAACACCGGAACCACTACCAGCGAGATTGACTCAAGAAGTGGCCGTGTGCGGACGATTAATCTCCCCGTTCCACCGAAGCCGTTTGGGAGGGTGGGGGGGGGGGGATGGGGTAGGAGGGTGTCGGTGAAAATCACAGGTCTCGTTGTCCGATGTTATTCTCTTTGATGTGAATATTTCCATAAAAGTAGTAGAAACATAACTAAGCAATATAACTAGGTGAGCGGTTTGAAAATTTTATAATTTTATCAAAATTTTCTTTTAGAGAATTTAATAATAATAATCTTTTTATGAGGTTTTTCCAATAGTCAAAACCTACTAAAACTTTTTAGCGGTCGTTATGTCTCCGTACGACAGTCGGGTTAGTGAGACTGTGGGTGTGTGGTGTGTGTGTGGTGTGTGGTGGGTTGTGTGTGTGTCGGTGTGTGTGTTGTGTGGTGTGTGTGGTGGTGTGTTGTGTGTTGTGGTGTGTGTGTGTGTGTGTGGTGTGTGGTGGTGTGTGGTTGTGTGTGGTGTGTGTGTGTGTGGTGTGTGTGTGTGTGGGATACGTGTTGTGCTGTTTCCGAGTAACTAAATAGTATTATACGAACATAGACTTTTCATTCAAGAATAGAGTGGTCTATTTCTCTTTCAGTGTCGGTCAAACAGTCACCACCCGTCCCCTCCTCCGGTCGTCCACTGATGTCGGCGTGCGAATACCCTCTTCCTGCCCAATTATACATCTGACACTTTCCCTTACTTTATCTTTATTTTACGTCTTTCTACTTCGCGTCCTCTTGACTTGTACCTCCCTCTCCTGTCTCTCAATCGCTCCTGAGGTCCGTTCTCGTGTGGACTAGTTTGAATGTTTACCCTGTGAGATGTATCTTTACCTAATTATTTTTAAATAAGTGAACTAAAACACCTGATTTCACGACGGTATCTCTGAACTTCCTCAGACTTCTACGTAACCTGAAATCTTTGAGACATATACGTGACAACACGTTTACATCCAGCATTTAATAAGTTCTTTCCGAAACTAGTCAAATTTACAAAGTGATATTAACGATTACCAAACTTTATGGACACAATACACGTACGTCACGAACATGTGTTAATCTATAGCATAAGACTTCCTTAACTGTTGGAAATAAAATGTGAGATCGACGCAAGTAACCGTAATTTTTACGGAATTACTTCTAATTTTTCATTCCCGTAAAAATTGTTTACTGCGTCGATCTCACATTTTTATTCCAACGTTTAAGAAAGTCTTAGCTATAGATAACACATGTTGGTGACGTACGGTGTATTGTCCATATAAGTTGGTAATCGTTAATACACTTGTAAATTTGACTAGTTCGGAAAGAACTATATTAAACTGGATGTAAACGTTTGAACGAAGCCAAAAGAAGTGCAGGGACAGAGCCTAGAAGGCAAAACCGCGGAAACAGTAGCAACCAGTACAAAAATAATAGGTAACAGATACACACAGTAAAACATTCCAAAACAGTCCACCACGACAACCCAGAAAACGCAGGAGCGAGAGAGACAGGAAAAGGGAGTACAAGTCAAAGGACCAAAGAAAGACGAAAAAAAGAAGAGAAAGCAGAATAAGGCAGGAAAGAGGACCCACCCGACACAGGAGACGACGAGGGAAGACGAGTGGTGACTTACGGACACGAAAGAGGGGGAAGACCACCACTCTAGAAGAAAAAGTAATTCGATAAAACTATTATACTCGGAAAACAGGCCACAGACACGTATACCCACACACCACACACCACACACACACACACACACACACACACACCACACACACACACACTTACACACACACACACACACAACACACACACACGACAACACACAACTACACCACTACACACACGACACAAACACACACCCACACACACACACACACACACACACCACACCCACACACACACACACACAGACACTACCCCACTGCGTACGGAACATACGACCGACTAAAAAGTTTAGTAGGTTTGATGGTTTCTGTACTATTGGAAAACCTCAAAAAGATATATATTAAAAATTCCTAAAAAAATGAAAAATAAGATAAAATTCAAACCACCTAGTTAATGCTTAGGATGTTTACTACTTGTGAAATCATTTCGACACAAAGAGAAGAACACGACACGAGACCGTTGAAATTTCCAACACACTCC